TCCCCATTCCGGTGATAATGTCAATCTTTCGTGGCTTTGCCACAGTAATGTCAATCTTTCGTGGCTTGGCCACGATAATGTCATTCTTGTGCTGCTGGGCAGCAGTCGGCGCGTCTTGTGGTTGGGTACCGCCCTTGGGCTGCACCCAGATATTGTCAATCAAGGGGCGCAAGGCCCTCATGTCAATCCTTGGTGGGCGAACCGCCGTAATGGCAATCTGTTTGGCAACCCTTAGAGGGAACCCGACTGTGATATTAAAGGAGGCGGCACCTAAGTTCTGAAAGGAGAAGAGAGGCCCACACGGGCCCAAACTCAGACAACTTCAAGAGAAAAGAGGAACCAAGACAAACACTAAGAGAAAAGTGAAAATGCTATCACTCGTGCTAGAAAATTGTGAGGAAAGACAAAGATCTTTTCAGTAGACCGGGACCTGAACAACCCAAGGAAACTTCGCATCCTTATGTTGGTGGAGAAAAATGGCCCAGATGCATCGCCACACTAACCAGTGGGACCCGCTCTCGACGAGGAGGGCCAACGCCTGCATGATGTTACCTTTGTTGACGTGAGCTCTGTACCTGATTTGTCTGACTTCGTCAGAGCTAAAGGAAAGGAGAGGGAGGATGTATTCTAGCAGGTGGACCAAGCCGTCGTTGGGGGTCTGGAGTTGTGTTTTGGACGGGTCCTTGGCAACCCCATAGGTACCGGAGAGCTGCCAATAGACTGCATCAAAATATAAGGAGCCAAAGCCACCAGCCGTGGCTGCCCCTTTGTTGTAGGGCTGTTCCCCTTGGATAAGGGAAGCACTTCTTCTGCCAATACCTGGAAGAGGTCCGTGGTGACCTTAGCAAGGTCCGGTTGCAGCATCCAATCGAAGATTTCTTTAGACCACTTCAGGGCCGGAACTGGAGACGAACACGCAAGACAGGCATGCTCGAACGCTAAAAGAGAAGAGCTTGCAATCAAATGATCCCATGGTATCAAGGGAGAGTGGGCAACATCAAAGTTGGCTGCCCAGCTTTCCAACTCATACTGCTTTGCTAGAGCCGAGCCCGAGCTACGCCAAATACTCCTAAGGAGGGCCATGAACCAACTAGTGATGTAGAAAAATTGCTGGAGAACCATATCATCTAGAGGACCATAGCAGTTTGTGAGGTCCTCTGAGTCGAGGTCCCAATCTGGATAGGCCCAAGGGTCCCTTGTGGGTCGGGGCAAAGGAAGGAGAGGGATGATGCTGGGGTGCATGAGTTTAGCTACCCAGGCTGCTGCCCACTGCTTGGAGTCATACTGGTGCATGTCCGTGTTTCCTAGCTTGGCAAGGAGACCATCAACCAGTAGCAGCGTGGCAGATCAGGAGCTGTCTACATGTCCATCTCGTAAAGAATTCTGTCCAAGAGTTCGCACTTTCGGAAGATGGGGAGGGAGGTCCAGCCCGGAAAGGGTGCTGCCAGGGTCAAAGGTTCCAAGGGAAAAGCCACACCTGGGTATACCCCCAAGTGGAAGGCGCGTCTCGTCGCATGCGAAACGTTGAACAAATTAACGGAGAAGACATCCGTGCAGACTCTCCGACAGCTGAGCAGGAAGGCAGTCTCCCCAGGTCTGCGCCTAAAGGCTGCTGATATCACGTATGCATATTTGCAAGGTAAAAAGCCTTGGAAAGACTCCTCATTTTGAGAGTCAAAGGCGTCCCGGATGCCGAGATTCAACAAGCCGGGTTTATGATAGCCCGAGTCCCAGTTTATGGAACCACTGACGCTGGGAGGAACTTGTATCTCCGCATGAAGGAGAGCAGTCGCGAATTCGGACTCAAAGCATCCCAGATTTTGTCCGCCCTGCACTTCCTTACCGACGAAGACGGAGCTCTCTGCGCAGCTCTTTGTACTTTGTACTAACGTGGACGATTTCCTATGGGCAGCTCGCGGACAGGGCGAGATGGCAATTCAGAAGTTGCTGGACCGGTTCAAGATTCACCGGGTGGAGACTGACCAATTCCGCTTCTGCGGACGGGAATATCCAACACGTCGATGGCAGTATTGAGATTAACTGTCGCGACAACACGAGGGCTATCAGGCCCATCGAGATTCGCAAAGATGAGACAGGCGCTACACCCGTGACCAACACGCAGCGATTCGCCTTGAGATCGGTCATTGGGCCACTGGCCTGGGTCGCCCGAGCAACGAGGCCGGACTTAGCCTATCGTGTGAGCACCCTGCAGCAGCGAGTCACGCATGGTGACCGCCTTCGTGCAAGCGTGTTGGAACTTCAAGGGAAGTTGCCGATGCGAGGCGATTGGGAAGAAGTCGCTCGTCGCAGCATGCTGCACGTGCAGTATAGCGATTGCCGCAGCTTGACGGATCATCTGTTGTCACCTTTACCCAAACAGGTTGAAGACAAACGGCTGAGCATAGAACTCGCCGGATTCGCCAGATGTTGTGGGAGGGTGATGAATTAAGTCACCAAGCATTCTCCCCGTACGGGGACATATTGCGATGGATCCCCACGCATCTACAACTTGCCGATTGCTTCACCAAGTCGATGAAGCCGCACTTACTCAACAATGCAATCACCTTGGACATTGTCACGGTACTTGAGGACGTACCAAAGGTAGAAGCGACAGCACCGGAAGAGCCGCTTGCTGTCTATATGACAGTCCAGCATGCACCGTCTGCACGACTCCGACATAGATCGGAGGAGCAGGATGAGCTTCTTGATGAAGCAGACACATAGACACGGTGAAACAGCTACACGTCCGCACGTCGTCACGCCGACCAGGACGGCTGACCAGAGTTCTTTTCTTGATTTCTTCTTTACCCTACGTAACCAGTCACGCGAGAGACAGGACGGTTGTGAAAATACCCTGTGTGAAGTCCCCACCTTATCGCGCCGCGTTGCATTAGCTGCACTTGTATAAAATGCGTGTAAAGTGCTAGATGAGTAGCCGCATTTGATCATGTACCTACCGCACGCGCCTTTAGCTCAGTGTGAGAAAATTGGTTGCTCTATCGTGCTGTAGCGTTGAGTTCCTGGCATACGTCTCAAACTTCCAGTGTAACAACGTAATTTGAACCATGGAAGGAAAACCCGTGATTTCTGCAGAGATTTCGTGCATAGGTTGCCAGCGATGCTGCCGGGAGCAGCAGGACCTGTTGCATTGTTTACGCGGTTTTTGTTTCGGGATAGTAGGCCGTTTTGACTCATATTTCTGGCCTTGGCTGATCAATGTGAGGCCAAGTTGAGAAGCCGGTTGAGTAGCTGGCATTTTTGGATTTCCCCTAATTGCTATGAATCGGCACGTCCTTTGGGTATGCCAATCATCGCCACTGTGCTGGAAAGTTCTATGCAGTCTCTTCTGAGAATGACGGGTGTCCTTTGGGTCTCATGGCTTTCCCGCTGTAGACATGATATCTTATCCAAGGAGTTGCATGACAAGTTTTCAGTTCTTCGATCTTTGCCGATGTCGTTTGTTGCGGGGTCTTCTGTGGGTTCCCAATTCTTGTCGATGTACATCTATTGCCTCAAATCCGTGAGCCCTAGATAGCTTCCTGACGTCGTCGACGTCCCAGGACGCTCTTGGGCTCCGTCTCCGCCATCGACGGGAGCTGGGTCCCCGGCATGCCAACTTCCTGGAGCGAGAGAGGGTAAGCATAAAAGTGGGGTCGTTTGGCTGTAGTGTAAGACATTTATGTCTGCAGCAGCAAATGCCAACGTCGCTGCCCTCGCTCTCGACTGGCATTCCATTCGTGGCTCCGGTGGACATGCCGCTTCTTCCTTCAACGGGTGCCCGCACTCCAATCACTCCAGAGCTCGGGCTGCAGGTTGGACGGTGGTCCTTGGCATTCGGACGTGGTGGGTCTGGACAAAATGCTGGAATGCTCCACCTGCAGATCCCGGGGTGGGCACGACGCCGGGTGGCACAAGGTTATCCGCATCAACTCCTTCGAGCGTTCCAACTTGAGATCGCTTCGGCTCTCAAGCTAATTATCTCCCCATCTTAGGAAAAGCCTCGGACTGCTTTGCCACAGCCCACATATGCCCACATGAACATTCCGTGGTTCTCGCCCGATGCATAAGCCATCGTCCTGCACATGGTCGTAAACCTGGCACCCAGCTGTGGGCTTCAACGTGAGCTCGTCATACTGATCTCCGCGTTTCGCCTTAATCCTTGCACGATCCATCTTGTCACTATGCTCTTTCTCCCATGCACGGGAGCCGGCGTCAAGCCAATAATATAAGCTGCTGCTGGGAATCAGAATGTCGGCGGCTTTGAAGCGACCTATCCTGACTGGCAGCCAAGGTAGTTTCATCGAGATCCGATGTCTAGGCTCCAATAGAACGTTCAAGAATGCAGGGTTTCTGTCCCACACACGAAGCATGTACCTCAGCGCACTGGCATCAATGTCGAGTTTTCCGCACGCCGCCAGCCGACACATGGCCTTGTGCGACTCCACGTCAGCTTCTTCGGCACTCGCGGATGCGCCAACAATTGCTCTTGCAAGTCGTCCAAGAATGTCGGGTGACCCCTCAGCGGCGTTCACGAATTGACTGTGCCTGCATCAGCCGCACCCCTGCCCCTTCGTGAATGAAGCTAATTTGCCTGTGGATGGGTCGTAGTCGCACATCTGCCTGACGAGCAGGATACATAAGAGGAGTCTTGAGCCCTCGATTTTTTGCAGGCTTTTCCTTGCCGGAGACCGCCTTGCCAAGCGCCCGGGTCCCAACGGTTGAGTGCGATTCTTGCAGTCTCGCGGCATCTCTTGGTGCAACAGACCGCAAACTCGCTGCGAAGATTAGCAAAACCGTGCAGGCTTCCAGTTACCTGTTGCTCTACATTGCTTCGTTGACAGAAGAGCCTTTGACCCAGCTGCCTTGTGTGTGAGCTGCGTGGCGAGAGTTGAACGGATCGGTCAGGTCTGCATGGTATGCATGCGTGAGCATGTCCAGAACTGGTCATGGCTTTGAAGCAGCCGTTTCTTGTGTTGGGTTCTTGTGAGATCCGGTTGCAGGCAAGAGACTCCCACAAGCCTCGCCATCGCAGATTTGGACGGCCGCGTACAGTCCGTGCAGTTTGCCGGAGAGGATCTGAACATGGGAACTCTGACAGGCCGGCGGTTGTTCATAGATGTTTCCAACCACATCATGTTTTATGGTGTATGGCACATACTGTGTGTCGAAGCCTTCAAGCCCTCTTTTTAAACCCCGAGGCTTGAACCGAAGATGAAAGCTTCAAAACTACAACCCAAAGTCTGAATGACAGGCAGTGTTCGATTCAATTTTCCATCTGCTGGCGAAGCGCAGCTCAGTCAATACGCCTTGCACCGAGATCATGACACGTATGTTGCTTTGTAATTGTAGTGCGAAGAGTAGCCTAGCTGGACCAAGCTGTTGTAAGAGAGCGTTTATGAGTGAGTATTGGTCAGTATGCACAGGGCTTCTTAGCAGTTTTGGTGTGCATATATTCGGGCTTTTCGGGAATCACTGGCGAAAACCCTACTTCACGTGATCATCCGCTTTTGAAGAAGTGGGTGGATGATGGCGCTACCAGGATACTTGTGATGGTTTTCATGTACTTGTACTGTATGCTTGTAGACGTTTGCATACATGTAAATACATACATTGAGACGAATGGTCCATCAGTGTCATTGATGCAGACCGGGGTCCTGAGCATTGGATTGCTCTTGGAAAAGAGCCCAGGATGTAGGTAGCATGCCACATGTGGAGGGAGAACTGTGGAGTTTAGATGTATGACCAGCTGGATTGGATGGTTGCGCAGCTTTTTCCGGAAAGTGCTGCGAAGGGTTTTTCCGTGGAGGAGGTTTCTATGGGAGGGGTGGATGTGTGACGGAAGTCCTTCAGGTTCTGTGGTTCTGTCTTTGTAAGTTGAATTCCCCAGCGCCGCGGGGAGGTTCCGGGCCAGGCCAGGCTTTCCCGCAGGAGAACTCCGTTGCCTCTCCAGATGCTCCGTGCAAGCCCGGGCCTGCAACCATGTGGGGTCCCAAACGGAGCTAGCTGACGGCAACCCCCCCCCCATTGTATTTCCAATCCTTGAAATAGCGGTACACCTGAAAATGCTTTGAACTAGCTTCTGGGGAATCCGACCCAGTCCAAAATGATTTTTTCTCGGAGCTTGGAAACCGCATTTAGAGCTGTTTCAGTTTCTCTGGTGTCCCTCATGACTCTCAAGCCACCCACTCACTCATACACTGCCACATTGAGTTCTCGGCACCCCGACCAAGACCAGATGCATTGTCCGAGGCCTGCTAATCCTAAAACCTACCTTCCAGGAAGCTATGTCGAGGCCCAACGCAGTTTTCCAGCCCCGAACAGTTCCTTCGACGCCCGTATGGACGTTTTCGCTACCACACGAAATTTTTTCTGATTTCCCCAAGCTCGAAAGCCGGCCTAAACTCATTCTTCAAGGCCAACAAGATGCATCTGGGCCTCCTTTCGACACATCGTGACAGATATGCTGTGCGATCTGGCCCTCTTGGGGGGGAAGCCTCAACAACACGTCTAAATTCCGGCACTGGCTGGCCGACATTATGAGCATCAATGGGTCTCTTTTGGACTTGCGGGTGATGAAAAGTTTGCGATCTCTCGGCGACGTGGAGGCGCCCGGAGGTCCCCCTCGGCCCTGGGAGCCCCCCGCCCCGGGGCCAGCTCTCTGCCAGGCCCAGAGCCGGGGTCGGCAAAGCGTCAGATGGGGGGTTTGGTCAGCGCCGTGAATCCGAAAAGCTTTGCAGAAGCCAGGAGCCAGTACGACTGTGTGTAAACTGTGCAAGTTCCGAGCTGAAGATCTTGCCCATGGTGTGTCCATATGACCATACGTGAGGCCGTGTACCTTGCCACAAGCGCATCGGGTCAGGACCGGTCACAGGCTGGTGATGAGTAGCAGCTGCAGCTTCTGACATGCGAGGAGGTCCAGGCCACAAGGTCAGTAAACAATTCTCAGCATGGCAGAATTTTCGCCTGATCACCCACATTCGTCAATTGCCGCACTTGGCTTTACCTTCCAAACCGTCCCAGACTCGAGGGAAGCTTTCCACTTCCGTCTTTTAATCGCCGGTGAGAGGTCGGCGTTGTTGCTGTTGGCAGCTCCATGTCGGTGGAAGCCTTAGTGAGCTCGTTGGCGCTCGTCACCGATCCCGTGCACGGCCCACTCCTCTTCCGCAATCCCTGAGGTGAGGTGTCTGTCTAATCCTCTTAGTTGAAAGTTGAAGCCCCATTGGAGGCCAGGTTGCACCCTTCCACTGAGGTCGCTTTGTCGAGCATCGCCCCCGGATCTTTCACTCACTTCGTGGCTCGTCTGAACTGTTGTTTGCGGAGCTGCGGATCTTCAGGTTCCTGGGATTTTTAGGACTGGATCGGTGTGTTATACTCGTGTGGAGTGATTCGCGGTTCCGAGGACTGAGGAGTGCGAAGCAGACGTGAGCAGAACGCTAAACCGCTGCAGGTGATCTACTCGACATCGACCGGCGGTGTCGAGCAGATGGGGCCTCAGGAGCCAAACTTTCACAAGAATCAGTGTTTTCATTGTCAGTAGTTCTCTTTATCATCAAGGCCACTGTGCGATATAGCTAACTTCGCCGCACTTATCAGTACCATATGCTTCGTCAACATCAGATGCAGGTGCGGAGGCTCTATGATCTGGCTGGCAACGTCTTGCAAACTCGTCTATTGCCTTTAGCCAGCCACTTCCGTAGTCGTGGGCACCCACATACTCATGCCCTTGTCCTTAGTTACTGCAGCTCTGCACGTCATCCTGGCCAGCAACATCGCCATCAGTATTGTCACAAACATCATCCCCACCATCATCGTCGTCGTCATCACCAACATCAACCTCATCACCATCCTCGTCATCATCATCATCATCATTATCATCATCATCGTCACCATCACCATCATCACCATCACCATCATCACCATCATCATCATCATCCTCGTCGTCATCATCATCACCGTCATCATCATCATCATCATCAGCGTCATCAGCGTCATCACCATCATCGTCACCATCATTATCACCATCATTATCACCATCACCACCATCACCGCCACCACCACCATCATCATCATCACGAATCACCACCACCATCATCATCCTCATCATCCTCATCATCCTCATCCTCATCCTCATCTTCATCATCATCATCATCATCATCATTATCAACCTCATCACTATCATCGTCACTATCATTATCACCATCACCACCATCACCATCATCACCACCATCACCCTCATCACCATCATCACCATCATCGTAAAGATCATGGTGATCATCAATAATTTCGTGACCCCAGCACGACTGCCGGAGGGGCTGGTGATGCTGCTGCTGAGGCTAATGATGGTGAACGTAATGCCAGGTGATCGTGATGGTGATGATAGTCACAACGACCATCGCGATCTTGATGTCGATGATGATGGCGATGATGATGATGATGGTGATGGTGATAGTCTGGTGGTGATGTTGATGATGATGATGATGATGATGTTAATGATGAGCAGCGTGATCGTTAGGGCCATGAGCTGAAATTTTCAGAACAGTCACGGACAACATCTTGATGGTACCAGTCCAAAGCCCGTAAACCTGGAGCAGCCAGTTCTAGTGAAAGGTCAACGCCTGTGGCGCTTTCTTTCGCCGAGGCCGTGCAGGCCTCAGGTATGTTCGCAAGTATCTACCAACGTGAGTACATCTCCATGACTCGGTCAGAGAAAGAGGCTTTGAGCTACATGCCTTCAAACTTCGACTTCACAGACGAGGAATGGCAAGCTCCCTTTCTGGATTATCGGAGCCTCGATGCGCGAAATCTTGTGACTTGATCAATCTTGAGCAGCGCAGAGGTTTAAAATGTCAGACTCCGGACAGCCGCTGACTGTTCATCCATCGTAGGTCTTGAGCATGCTTGCTTCAGCAAGTGTGCATCTGCTCCGGAGTGTATTCACCAGGATTGCTCTGAAGACGTTGACCCCAGCCCATGTTTTTAAAGGCAGCATCCTCACGATGCCGGGGCCCTGACCCTAAGGGCCTATCCTACCCGCCAAAGCGCGTAATTACTTGTCCAGATCGGAGACGGGTGAGCGCTAAGCTCAAAATCGGAAACTTCTCCAGCCGAGAGGACCTGGATGCTCTAGAGCTCGGCGGCACGGCCACTTGGACACCCGCCCAGGTGAGTTTCCTTGCCTCACACGAAGCTCTCTCAGTTCAGTCGTTTGGAGGTGGCGGACGAGATTACGGAGTACCGCCTCTACCTGGCCGAGGATTGTTTCAGGGTGCTTTGCCCTGAACAAGCCTGGCAGTGCACCAGGTATTCCCATCGGGTGAGATCAGGCTGTCAGGTTGTAGCGACGGAGCAATCCCGACACAGTCATGTCAGGGCTTCTACTGAGCTTATATCAGCTGTCAGTGCATTCTGGAACGCTCCGGGTCAATCGTGTCAATTCAGCCCCTTCTGGTGCTGTACATGCCGCTTCTTTCTCGCGCCCACGCGTGTCTGCATGTCAGTGCGAAGCAACAAGCGAACTTGGGATATGTTTGCAACAGGTTTGGTCTTGCACGTCAAGGTTTCGAGTGATCTATGTTTGGAGCACAAATCTGTGGAAGATGAGTGCGAGCATGGTGGTGGCATGGGAGCTGTCACCAGCTGGCTGACAGACAGATCATCTCATCGTCTTTGTGCACACCAATCCTGGTGTTGCCATGCACAGGGACCATTATCATCGTTGAGGTTCGCTTTCATTGGCTTTCGTCATCGTCTTCGTCGTCATCATCGTCATCATCATCATCGATAGCCTTTCATGTGTGAGAGAGTTTTTGCTCTTTCTGTGTGTGCTTGTTCGCGCGTGCGTGCTTTGGCGCGCGCGCGCTTTTGTTTGTGTTTGTCTGAGTCTGTGTCTGCAGGAATATGCCTTAGTGTTCGCTTCTGCGGGATGCTGCGGCAAGGTTTGCAAGCAAACAGCCCCGTTGCCCTTGCTCGCGTCACATTGAAGGAACTCCGCCGAATTGAATGGAGAATGACCCTCGGAGAAGAGCCTGTGAGCGTTGTCAGGATGCAACTGGCACCGGCCGGGCGTTGCAAGCGAGTGCCGTTGCCGGTGCTGTGCTCAGCCTGCGCAAGTCTTCTTCAACCGAAGCATTCGAACTTCGAAGTTCCGAGCTGCACAGTCTTGAGGACCCTCCAGGTATCCGAAGCCTAGCCGAGGCTCGAATGCCGAGCTGAACGTTTCGGACGTTGCTGTGGGAGATCCTTCCTTGCAAATGGCACGGGGATTTCGGGCTTTCAGCATTTTGGTTTCCTCTCTGAAGCCCGTTATCTGTGGCATCCCTGTCTTCTACCTGCCGAAAGACCGG